TGGAGTCTTGATATATTGCCCAGGTTGGCTTGCAAATTATGGGCTCAGGAGGTCCTCCTGCCTCAGCTTCTGGAAAGCTGGAACTACAGATGTGTGCCTCTAGGCCCAGCAATAGCAATCATTTTATTGATTCCTTACCATGTGACAGGCTGCTGCGTGTGGGTGGCACACACCATCAAGACAGACTGGGAAAATGTCATGTAAAGCTAAGCAGAATCAACAAGGCTGGARGAGAGGCTAAAATTTGCAAYACATTATAGGGAAAGAACCCAGAGTCCTAAAGTCAGATGGCTTACAGTTCCCGATTCTATCACTAATAATGAAACTTGCAAAACTTCAATTTCATAATCTACAAAATGAGGATACCAACATTTGTCATAGCTTTTCCACTGGATGAGAACTTCTAGGACAACGTGGGGAAGCACCTCATTTTGAGGACCCTGCTCAAGGTCAGGTCAGCAAAACACTCAACGCCTAGCACCAACCCAGGCACTCCGTGAAGGCTGGTGCTTGCTCCTTTCTTCCCCCTAGCTTTATCTCCACAGCAGCCGCCATGGGGAATAAGAGCTTGGAAGAACAAGGACCCAAGGATGGCTGGCCTGAGACTGGTTGTGTGCTGCACATGTTATTTTTTCTCTTGACCCAGTCTGCAAAAGAGAAACAAGAGTGAAATGATAACAGGCATGTCCACTGAAGCAAAACAGGTCACAGGAAGAAGATAATACTCAATGACAAATAAAAGTCAACTGCAGCTGGACCCTGAAAGGGTAGGTGAAAATCCATGGGAAATAGGGAAGGCATGTCCTTTTGTGTGGAATAGGCTTTTAAAATATTATCACCAAGCCAGGCATGGTGGCACACGCCTCAAATTCCAAGGACTCGGGAAGGATCATGAGTTTGAGGCCAGCGCGGACAATTTAGCAAGACTATCTCAAAAATAAAAAGGGAGGTGGGGATGTAGCTCARTGGTGGAGCACCCCTGGATTCAATTCTCAGTACTGCAAAATAGTAAACATTATCACCAACGTGAAAACACACACACTTTTGCAGTTTTACCATCATCTTTGCTGTTTAGGCTGCCTGTGCAAGGTGGAACTCCTAAGAGATACAAAATGTTTATAGCGTAAAACAATGACAAAAATCTTCAGCCTTGTTAAATGAAGGCACCAGACATAAAATATCCACATTGATTTGATATTCAAGACTGTGTACATATGGGTAAGACCCAAGGAAGGGTACTTGGAAAACAAAAACAGCTGATTAGGACAGAATTGCCTCWCCCAGTGCCTGAAACCTAATATTTGTTCAATAAATATTTGTTGAACCAGCAAGAAGACTTGATTTTTATTTTTCATATTACAACTGTGAATACATTTGTTAGCTAATCAGAGATAATATACCTTCATGACATATTTTGTTGTTTTGTACCCCCCCAAAACACTTTTGTCATCTTATGCCCAAAGAAAATGATGTCATCATAAAAGCTTGTAGGGGCTGGGGTTGTAGCTCAGTGGTAAAGTGTTTGCCTAGTATGCGTGAGGCACTGGGTTCAATCCTCAGTACCACATATAAACAAATAAAGGGATTGTGTCCTTCTATAACTAAAAAAAACAAAAAACAAAAATCATTTTCCTCCCCCTTAAAAAAACAAACAAACAAACAAAAAACTTGCAGACCTGGGCATGGTGGCACATGCCCATCATCCCAGTGACTCTGGAGGCTGAGGCAGGTTCAAAGCCAGCCTGGACAACTTAACAAAATCCTGTTTCAAATAAAAAGAGCTTGGATATAGTTCAGTGGTAGATTGCCCCTGGGYTCATTCCCTGATACCACACAATAAACAAATAGTAAATAAATAAGTAAATAAATAAATAAATCTAGGAATGTGGGGTTTTGGTACAGAGAACTRGATAAAAGTCACTAATGCATTTCAGTTATCTAAAGCAAGCAGAAGCATTGGTAGATAAACAGGAGATCTGCTATTTGTTCATTTATTGGTCAACTGTCTTGGAAAAATAACCCCTTAAGATCTTAGTTGACAGGTCTGTGACCGGGTGATCCCTCCTACAGCCCTTTCACTACTTTRAAAGTTAAATGTCAAGAGAAAACATACCGGGTTATTATGTCATGTGCATGTGTAGATACAGCATAATGGCTCCTACTATTACACATAGTTATAAAGCACTAATAAAAAAATTAATTAAAAAGTATCAGGCCAATGAAGACAGATGGATTCTCAAAAGAGTTAATATTTGAAAACTTTATTTTCTCAAATGAGCACCAACACAGATCAGAAATATGACAGAAACAATGCACTTCTCTAATACTGCATCACTATGTACAAATACAGGAAAAGGTGAAGACAAAGTGACCTGAAAAAATGCCAACAAAGACAAAAACAAAACAACCCAAACCCAACAAATACAGTTTGTAAACACAAGCATAAATAGATTCTGTATTGTAAGATAGTCTCTGCAGGTTGGGAAAAGGGAACCAACTCCCACTTTCACCAAAATGTTATAAAACACATGGGCAGATAGAATTGGATAACAAGAGAATCCTTGTTTCTTGGCTTTATCTTCTACTGCCAGTAAATTTTATGACCATACTTTTTAAAAAATTAATCTCTTTTCTCTTCTCATAGGACTAGCATTTTTTGCCTTTGTGGCAGATTATTTTAAAATATGTGAATTGATTGTATTCAAGATTTGATTTCCCAGCCTCTTCATGAACCTGAGGCAATCTGACCTTAAAAAAAAAAAGCTGTTTACCTAGAAGGTATGTGTATTATGTTATTAATGTTCTTTTAACCCAAACCAGTTAATGTTTAAYATGATGTGGCTTCTAAAACAACCAGAGCCCTGGGACACGTGATTAATATGCTCACATCTCAGTTAAAAGTACAGATTTGACTCTGCTTGATCTTCGCAAACAAATTTCCTTTACAGTCTGTGAAAGTTGAGCACACAAAGAAAAAAAAAAAGGAACAAAATGCAACAGCTCTGTGCTCAGGAAAACAAAGATCTCGTGGTTTGTGCTGTTGGTCCACTCAGAAACAAAAACAACCAGAGAGAAAGAAGAAAAACCTTATGTGCCCACAGTGTAAACTATAGTTACAGTGTCCCCAAAAGAAAACAGGAGGCACAATCCAAAATGCTTTCACTCACATTCTCTCTCTCTCTCTCTCACACACACACAGTCAATCAAATTCAAGATCCCGATTTGTTGGATTTTTTCCCCCAACAAGTGTAATTACTCTAAATTGTTACTACTAAATTTACTTGGTTTTATTTATTTTCTTTTCTAGTCAATATTAGTGCAAGAAAATATTTCCGTTTTCAACCTGGTAATTTACTGCAGAGTCTGTTCCATGGTAGGGTGGTGGTAGTGGGGGATACAGACAGGCATTGCTTTAAAGCCTTAATCCAGATTAAAGTGAGATATCCTCAAAAAAGAAGAAGAAAAAAAAGTACATTGGTGATTACTGTTTCCCTTAAAATAYATTTCAAGAAATGCASAGGAAATCATAGAATTTAAAATAAAAAGTGCTCTCAGGGGATCTGAGAAAACAGCACCAAATATATTATTTAAAAAATTAAATATTATTTACAAAAGTATATTTCACAAGCAACTTTTTTTTCATATATATATGTATAGATATATCTACTTGAAAATCTTATCATAAAGGGGACACCTCTTTGCACACACTGACCCACTAGTAAAGACTAACTTTACCCTGTGTATGTGATCTTGTGGTCACAGGAGCTGGGGTAGTACTCAGACCCAGCTGAGAACTTGTGGGCATCAAGTTTGGCTCTATTTGATTTATGTCAAATCAACCCATCAGCAGCCTGAGACTAATATCCCAGGGGCGGGGGTGGAGGCCTGGGTGCACTTCAGGGTGGCCAAGGCCATATGACCTAGGGTGGGGCAGGGGGGCTGGAACACAAATCTGCCAGCTGGACTTCAGTTCAAAATGAAGGCAGCTGCTGGCTGAGGTATAGAACTTCCTGCTTTTCCCTTTCTCACTTCTCCTTTCCCCTTCCCTTCTCCCCTTAACTCCACCCCCCGAGTTTAATCAACAAACTCCAATTCCCTGAACCTACTTAGGGTGAATGGATGAGGTCTTTGGTTATGCTCTGGGTCAATAATTTGGTGAGAAAATTAAAGAATAAACTGACCAAGGCCATGGGTTGACGGGTCTCCATTGCTCAGCTGTGGCCTCTCCAATACTGCTAAATGTTAGATAGACAAACCACAAATAGAGCTAGTTATAAGAAGCACTTTTGGTTTCACTGACACAAAGGGAAGCCTAATGAGTTGTTTTCCCCCCTGTAGTTATGGAAAAACCTACACTCAGATCTCTTGCACCAAGTATGGTGCCATCCACCCACTGGATGCTCAATGGATGGTGACTGGAAAAAACCCAGCAGCAGGGTCTGATTGGAAACTGCTCTGATCYATGCTACAGTCAAAGGCCCCATCTTCAAGGAACAACAGTGGCACATTGGTCTCCTTCTCTGCCCCTTGACAATTCTAGGACATCCCATGTCCAGTTTCGGTACATGACTACCTTAAAACTGTAGATCTAAAGACAAAAAAACACCTGTCTTCATTTAATCCCATTTTCTTTTTATGAAAGACTCTTAATAGCCAGGATAGTCCCTGAGCAAAGGGTCTAACTGAATCCACAAATGAAGGCCACTTGCTTCAGGAGGAAAAGAGGGGGAAATCCATGATTTCCGTCATGGTAAGCCAGCTTAGGAATGTGAAAGTTGGAAAATGTTTGAAAACTTGGGCCTGGGACCAGAAATTAAATACTTCTGAACCTCAGTCTGCCTTGCAATAAAGGGGGGAGAACAACTTAATCTCTATGGCTACTTCTTAGACAAGAAGCCCTGGGGAACAAAATTCAATGTTTCCCCCCCTTGGTACAAGGGACTGAACCCAGGGGCACTCTACCACTAAACTACATCCCTAGCCCTTTTTGAGATAGGGTCTCAATAAGTTGATGAGGCTGGTCTGGAACTTGAGTTCCTCCTACCTCAGCCTCCCAAATTGCTGGGATTATAGTGGTATGTCTCCATGCCAGTCCAAAATTCAATTTCTAGAAATCCTTCTGTCTTTAAAGAGGAGAGGCACGCTTATTGCCAAACATGGAACTACCCTGTTTTCTGTCATCCTGCCATCTGCCAGGGGCAGGGCAGGACCATGACTGTCTCAAATCTCCCATTCTACAGTCAGCACATGGAGACACAAAAGGTATTTCCATCGTAGACTCCTTTCTTATGGGAATTTCATTCTGTTGTGATGAGATTCTGAAAATGTCTGAGGGTTTGCAGCTTTACTCTTAACCAACTTTACAAATTCTTATCTCCATGAACCCACTCTTTGTGAGGCTGTTAAGGTGAATTTTCCTATAGGAGCAGCCTGTTTGGAGGACTAGAAGGTTTGAATTACCTCATCTGCAAGCATCTTAATATTTTCAGTCTAAGAAATGAGATTAGAGTTTCAGTCCTGCACCATGTACCTGGCTGAACTGCTGCAGGAGACTTTCACAGTGTTGATGAAATGGATCAAACTYTTTTTTTGTACGCCTTATAGGGATCTGTTCTTCACTTCCCTAATGCTCTGAAGATTGCATAGGGCGGGGGAGGAGAAAGGGGGTAATATTGGGATTTGTAACCCCTCCTCATTGCTGGAYCAGTCTGACAGATTTCTCTCCACATAAGACACTGAAGGTCCAAGAAGAGTAACCAACCAGGTGATCCCTAGGCTCAAGGCCTTTATCTTCCACAGTCTGCAACATGGAGGTGGAGAAAACACCCTGAACACTACAAAGAATTGCTGATCCCACCAAAGCCACTGCGTATCCAAAGAGCAAAGATGCACCTAACCTGGACTGGTTCAAATCTGAACTATTCTTCACACTGTTCCAGTCAGCTTCTTCCCCTGGCAATACGAATCAGTATTGCTAAGGGTCAGGAAAAAGGGRTAGACGGTCAGCATTGCTAATATTTCTACTTTTAATTTTTCTGGCTCAAAATCTGAGCTATTTMTTTAGGAGCTCCCAAGCACCAGCCCCTCTCTTATTCGCTGCTTGCCTCAATTCCTGATTTTACTTGGTTGCTGGTCAAAGCCTTTGGGACATTTGCATCTTGCGTACATTGCAAATGCCAGTGTCCTCTGTCCTCACACGCAGTGGCTAAGGAAGCATAGATGATTGCCCAGGGGCCGAGTGAGGAACCAGATCAGAACTCATCAGGGCCTCACCTACCTCACTCACTGCTGCCAGTACATGCCCCAGCTCAGCCCAAGAGAACTAGGTTCTTGCCCTGTCAGCTAGAATTAGGGCCACTGCTTGTGCTCATTTGCTATCCTGGCACACGTGGTGTCACGTACAGAAGCTTCTGATCAGAGATATTGCAGCCATGAGGTATATTTTTTTTCTCTTTGTCCTTTTAGACAGGTTGATTATTTCAAGCCTAAGTTACCAGGTCTCCAGGAGCAGTGCAATTTTGTTCCTACCTCCACCCTCCCACCCTCTGCCCATTCCCAGGACCCTTGGGATTCCCCCCTTTCCCTCTTGCTAATGCCCACGTGCCACGTCACTGCTTTCCTGACAAGAGGCCATCAGGCAGCTCTTGCATGGGCCCCGGGGGCCCTTTCCAAGGTGGGCTGCCGCCATGTGGTCAAGGATCTGTTCCTTTTGTTGTTTTTGTTTTCAGCCAACACTAGAACAGAGAGAGAAGCCAGGATCAACTCACAAACAGATACAAAGCAAAGAGACAGAGAGACGGCAATTTAGAGGCCGGTCACCAGAAAGATGGTGTCAGTGTGGGAGGATGCCCCAGATGGGAAGGCCCCTAAATGGATGGAACCAAGTGTTCAGTCACTCTCTCACGCTTGGGTAGAATGTTCAGTTAGATGGCATTCACATGGACACTGGGTTGGGTAGATGGTGTCGGATCAGTCCCAGCCATTGTCCTTGATCATGTGTGCTAGTTCAATGATGTATTTGCCTTCTTTATATTTCTGGCTGCTTTCAAAAGCATGTTCCTATGAAACAGAGAAAGAGAAAAGAAATTCAATGACCAACAGGTAACTTTTATGGCATAGAAGCAGAGGCGTTGCCAACAACAGGCATCAGAACAACTGAGGTCCCATCCAGGTTTCACCCAGACCCACTGAGAAACCTGTCACCACTCAAGCATTCTGTCTCCTGCACTCAACAGCAGAACTGAGGCAACACCAGGACTTCCTCAGTATTATGAAATAATTTCATCAGGATCTTTGCATTTTTAAGTCTTTACTCAAGTGTCACTATCTCAGAAAGATCTTTCCCAGCTGTTCTACTCAAAATCCCAACTAAATTTCACCCCTGCACTCCCTCTCCCCTCCCCAGATTAGTTTTTGCCCATAGTATTTATCATTTTCCAACATACATTATAATCTGTAGTTCTGTTTTATTATCTGTCTCCCTTGGTGATAATATAAACTTCATGGATGGCAGACATGTTCATGTTTTATTTCATTGCTGTGTCCCCTAGACAGCTGTGAGGCACCTATCAAATCTTTAATAAATAATTGCTAGGGCTGGAGTTGTAGCTCAGCAGTAGAGTGCTTGCCTAGCACAAGTGAAGCACTGGGTTCAATCCTTGGCACCACATAACAATAAATAAAATAAAGGTATTGTGTCCATCTACAACTAAAAAATAAATAAAATAATTGCAGAATGAATAAGTATACATTCAGTGAAGGTAAAAGAGTGAGAGTATTCCTATGAAGAAAAAGAAAAAAGGCYGAAGAGGTAGCTCAGTGGTAGAGTGTTTGTCTAGCATGCAGGAGGCCCTGGGTTTAATCCCCAGTAGCACAAAAAAATAAATATATAATCTCAGGGGAACTTGATGCCAACCAGATCTACCCACAAAGTTTCCATGTCATTTCTGCTAGTTTCTAGGAACTCAGGAAAGTCTGGTTATAATTTTAAGCTGAACTTGTTAACCTTAGAGAAAAGACAGGAAGAGAAACCAGGTACTATGAGGCCAAACAGGTCTCTCGGCCTTATTTCCTTGTTCTTGCTGTTTCCCTGTCAGATAAGTCAAGCATGTTTTTCCTTCACTGACTTTCTCCAGGGAGACAGGAGCTCTATAAACGCAAGACTGAAGAACCTGACAGCCCTCAAGCCCTAGACAACTGCTAGGTCTCCAGAGGGAAACCTCAACACCTGGCAGGTTACTTTCTAAATTTACAATACTGCGGGCACTCCCAATTAATAAGCCCCAAAGAAAACAGTCCCGCACAGGTTCAGGATAAATGGTTATTTTATTTTCAGCAACAGACATCTAAGAACATCCTGGTGTATTATCTGAGAACAGTGCTCCCTAGAGCTGACACGTGACTAAGGTCAAGGKACAGAAGCAGCGACATCAGCTGTTCCTCTAGGGCCCTGGAATTAACAAACTGAAGCCTATGTGGTGGGTTCCTGCAGCTCTGCATGAACAGTACCATAGACTTTTGGGTTTCAGAGCAAGAGTTTGAACTCAATCTCTTGTTGAGAGGAATCATTCACAAAATAGAAGGAGAGAGGAACCAAGAGAGAATAGTTATAGGCTCAGCAGCAATTTCCCTCACACTTCATTATACCCCTGTGCCGTGTGTGTGTGTGTGTGTGTGTGTGTGTGTGTGTGTGTGTGTAAGTGCACAGGGGCATGCACACTTACACACAATAGAGGAAGTGGTTTGGAAATAGATATATCATTCCACAATAAAGAGTTCAGGTGGAGGAAAAAGGAAAAAAAAAATGAAAATTCAACTGCCCTGAGCCACAAAGGCACTAGTAAAATATCAGGACTGGAGTCTACAAAATCACCAATGACTCCACCTTGAGAAGAATCACTTAACCACTGGACTTTCTATTCAATCACARTTGGGGATAATCACAAGATTGTTTTGAGGGTCAAAATATTTTAGTAAAAACCAGAACTGTGCATGCCCCCACCATCASTCACTCAGAGGGATGGGTGATGGTGAGAGGGGCAAAATGGCCAAGGCCAATTTCTCCCACAATGAACAACAAGCAGCGCCTAAACCATGTTGTCATCACAAAACATACTGTCTGGAGTTTTTCTTCCTAGCACTGAACATTTCCAAGGAGATGCAAAAAACTGAATCTGAAAGCAGTTCTGCCAAATGCTGCTGTAGACTCCACCTGTGGCAGTTTTTAATTTTCTTTTTAAATCACTTGCACATTTTCAAGTGTTATTTAAATGGAATTATACATGTGTGTCTGGCATCTATTGCTCATACTATTTTATTTATTTCCCCCAATAATTTTTTTTATTTTTCAAGTCATATTAGTTTCATAGCTAAACTGAGCAGGAAGTATAGATATTTCCCATATACCCTCCCTAGCACGTCCCAGACACCCCCACTATTACAAACCCACCGAGTGTTCCACTTGTTACCACTGGTGAATCTACAGCATTAACCCTGCAGTAGTTTCGATTATTCCCTTGGGCTCCTTCCCAAACCAATAGTAGGTCATAAGCCACATGACAGGATGGGGAATTTGAGACATTTTACATAGAATAAATCACCCTCCCAATGACAGAGAGACCAATTTTTCAATATCCTCAAAATGACAGGGCAAAACAAAAAGTACTGTGGTACACATGGAAGTACAAATGCTGGCAGAAAAAGATCTGCCAATAACAACAATGTAAGCTTATCTTCACTAACATAAGCTACATGCCAAGTGATGACCTAAGTATTTTACAAAAGCATTATTCTATTCAAAGCACTAAAAACTCTATGAGTAAGGAGAATGAAATAGCTGCCTAAGGACACACAGACAAATAAATGATAGAGCCCAAATCTGAACCTGACTCTAGCTACCTAAATGGTACTTAGCCACCAGCCAGAGGGACAGTGGGGCTATATTTRTGGTTGTTTGGTGACCCCAGTACATGTTAGAATACCTAGTCCCCAGGGTCTTTAAAGTAACAGATCCCTGTCCTCCTCTTACCCTGACAAAAGAATATGCACTCTTCCTAGGTCCCAAAGGAACCTTAATTTTCTATGTTGAAAGAATGAATTGTGCATCTGGGAGAGTCCAGCCATAACTATATCCACAGTGGACTTGTGGATAATGTTTGATGATGCCCAGCACATGACCTAGGACCTCGGCAATCTTCTCAGAGCATTTACACTTCTTCAAAGTACAGTGATTTAAGAGCTCGGTAGTCAGACAACTCAATGGATTCCTTTCCTGTTTTGGCCATTTGATGGCTGGATAACCTTGGACATACTATTAACCTTCCTCAGCCTCAGTACCCCAATCAGAAAATAGAGATAAAATAACATCTAACCTCKAGAGATGCTGAAAAGTAAATATATTCATCTGTGAGCAAATGGTATATGCTGTTAATATTATTAAGTCTACAAGGGTGTGTGTGAATATGAGTGAACAGGTGTAACAATGAATTGGAAGTGGAATGAGTATTGTAGATAGATGACGGCACCAGGTACTGCTCAGCTTCCTGTCCTGGTCAAGGATATTTCCACAAGGCCACAGGAAGCAAAAGAAAAAAGCATTCTTCTAACGTGAGGCCCAGTGCTAGTCTCTTCACAGGCCCCTCAAGCAGACTCCATTATACTTACATATTTCCAGCCCAGAGTGGTTTTGCAGTTTTCACAGTAAATGTCTGCAACTGCATGTAGTCCTGTTAGCAACACTCGCTCCTCTGCAGGCCCACAGCCCACATTAACTCTATGCCAAAAGAGAGAACAGGAGAACAGGTAGGTTAGTCACATGTAGTACAYCATTCATTGTTCAGGCTGAACTTCCAGCAAAAATCCAACCAGACAAGGCTGTCCCAAGGGAAGTCAACACTAAGAACCTCATTTAAAACTTGAAGAACATCCCTCCAAAGGTAGCCACACAGAAATATCTCAGTTGCAATGAATTCCAGACCTGCTAGATTTGATTCACTTGGTCTACTAAGATAGTCCTGATTGAAACTTTGCTTAGGATTTAATTTTTCTAACAAATGCTTTTAATCTCATGACTTAAATGGAGGAAATCCAAGCCATGGGCACAGGTCCTCAAAGTTTACTGAGGACTAAATGAAGCCAAATATGCCACACAGTCTTGTCCTTATCATAACAATGAATCCTGAACATTGCACATACTACTCCTTCACAGAGCGCCTATTTCAAACTGAAGGCCTTAGATTTCCATTTTACAGTTCAAAAGGCTATGTAAGCTTCACCTTCCTTTCCCAGGAAGATGTTATAAATCACACATCCAGAGATGACTATGGGCTTCGTACGCTGTGTCACAGCCTCTAGTAGAGGCTAGAGGATCTTCCCTAACTTCTTTATGTTCTTCCCTCCATCTTTATGTTCTTCAGCAGATCCTGGTGGAGATCTTTTTCACCTTCTCTCCCCACAGTGACAAATCTCACTTATGGCTATGAGACTTCCATGTTGAAGCTCCCTCAGATACTCCTCAGCTTCTTCCCTGTGGGATTATTAGGGGCACTGTGGCGAACAGAGTATTTTCAGCCAGAGATGAATGAATGAAAGAAAGAAAGAAAGAAAGAAAGAAAGAAAGAGAAAGAGAGAAAGAGAGAAAGAGAGAAAGAAAGAGAGAAAGAAAGAGAAAGAAAGAAAGAAAGAGAGAGAGAAAGAAAGAAATATCCCCAAAGGTTACTGACTGTTGTAACACTCCACAGGGTTTTTGTTACAGAAGTCAGGGTCCACTGTTGAATTGTTGAGAGTTGCTCTTCCCATCCCTCAAAATTTGCACCAAACAATGGATGCACCATTCAGAGACACTCACACTGAGTTAAAGAGGTATGCTCGTCCTTGACTTCCTTGGAACGACTGAAATACAAGAAAACAAATGGATGGTTAGATATYCATTTCACCCACCCATTTGGATAACTAACCCCAAATCATAACAAACAAAGCCTTCCAGGATTGACACAGAAGGGAACAGTAAGCCAGCTCACAGACTAGCTGGCAGATGGCATGAGGAGGGGGAAGAAGGCCACATTTGCACTATTTCACMAGCTTAGGTGAGAAGATGGGGGGCAGGGCATACCAAACCCCACTATGTCACTAAAAACTGCTTCCCTACTGAGGTTGCCTGAGATAATTAATCCGTTTGAGATAATTAATCCATATTCACTTCTCCTAGTGCTACTTGATTTCAGCCATCTGTGCTGGCCACAGTTTTCCCACATTGGCTGGGACATAGAAAACCAGTAAGAGGCACCTTTCTTTGTTCTCTTGGTCCTTTCCTACTGAAGGCAGCAAAGAACAAACAAACCATTTATCACTCATCTTTGCCCTTCTGTGGATCCTAACTGCCACAACAGTCACCATCCTCCTAAATGGGATCACAGAAGCTCCCCTTCCAAGGTGTAAGCAACTTGATCTCTACAGCACAGAAATGCTTACTAGGCAGTAATCCCATCTTAGCCTCTAGCTTCTTTCTTCCGGCTGGGGAATGGTGAGGGGAAAGGACAAACAGGAGCCAGAGCTTGCCATGCAATCTGACATCTACTTCCATTAACATAAGCCCTGTCCATGTTTTCCTCCTCTGGTTACACTGAGAAGTCTAGCTGACATGAGCCAGCCATGTTCTGCATGGCTGTCTGCATTTTTAATGTGGTATGAAAATTTTATCCTGAATTTAACATCCAAGCCTGCTCTGAAAACCACTTTAAAATCAACAGCTCTAAAAACAAACAAACAAACAAACAAGGGACTCTGAAGAAATCTGGAGGTGACTAGTTAATAAATGACTAGAGGGTAAAAGCACCAGACAGGGCACAGATCATTATGCATGAATCTGTCATTTATTAGATGTGCAGGGTGGCAGAGACTGGAGCTGCTAGCCACCGAGTAAGGCAAAACTCTTTTTACTTGGGCAAAAACTGCCTCTAAAGCAGCTGGAGTTTTGGTTGCCTCCAATAGTCAAAGGCATGCCAGGTACAGCTTCAAGGAGAAAGCGGATGTTCCGCAGCTGCTGCCCAGACCTGCACAAACTCTCTCCTTTTTGGGATCTTGATACATCCCTGGGGAACATAAGACCTCCTAGGCACAACTGAGAAGCTCCGGGTATCACAGCCTTAAAACATGAATCCTAGAGGCCCATGCCAAATGTTTCAATAGACAATGTMCCATTGACATAAGACTAGATTTCTTAAAATTGTTTTTATAGTTGTAGATGGATACAATACCTTTATTTTATTTATTTATCTTTATGTGGTACTGAGGATTGAACCCAGGGCCTCACCTGTGCTAGGCAAGCACTCTACCATTGAGCTACAACCCCAGCCCAAACACAGGCCTAGATKTGGACAAATTGTTAGTTCAACCTTGGAGCACAAAGACACCCCAGGGTTTCAAGGGCAGCCAAAGCTTCAAATTCTGGCTCCACCCACTCCTCTGGTCTCTGTTCTTGCTACTTTCCTTTGCTCTAGTCAAAATAAGCCACATGCGGTGCATTTCACCAACTTTGCCCATGGATAATGGTCCCTCTGATGGGAAAGCTCTCCCAACTTATCCCTTCTAAGCCTCAGCTCAGCTCCTCTTTGATAAGGCTTTCCAACCTCCCTAGGAAGAAGCACCATTGACACCCATGTTCTGGACCCCTCTTGTTCCCCATGTTTTCTTTTTTCTCAGCATTTAATATCCTGGATTTAAACTGTCTATTTAATTCCCTCACAAGGTTGTGGGCTTCCTGAAGGCCTGAGCCATGTCTCCAATCTCTCTGAACCCTTAACACATATTTGAATCTTGCATACAATATGCATTTAATATTTATTCCAGATCAATTGTATCAAGGTCTGAAGTATAATAAACTACATATTTAAAGAATACATTGAACACTTCTGGTTCTGATATCTGCACATACCTGTGATATCACTATAATCCATAGTAAGATTATGGGTTATCCCTCACACCCAAACATCCCCATTCCAGCCTCCCCTTTCCTCTTCTTCTCCTTCCCAGTTGGGACACACAGGCAACCATTGCTTTCAATCACTCATTTGTAGGTTCTAGAATGTCATATAAATGAAATCACAGAGTGTGTAGTATTGTTTTTTTTAAAATCAGGTTCTTTTACTCAGCACAATTCCTTTAAGATTCATCCAGGTTTTCTATAAATCAATAGTTCATCCCCTTTTTATTGTTGAACAGCATTCCATTCTATGGATATACCAGAGTTTATTTTTGGTTTGATTATTTAATGTAAGATTTTGACCTCAGAGTCTCCTTCCAGCTCCAAAATTATATTCTTTTATGAATTCATGGTTCTAAATTATATGTACAGGTTCACTATCCTCTAAAACACATTTGCTAAGACCTTCAAGTTCACCACTAGGAAAAAAGTGGCTACAGGAAAACAAATCCTAGAAGAGAACAGACGGTAAAATGACATGAAGCAACAGGGGTACTCCATCCATGACAGGAAAGGACCCTAAAGAACATATTCACTTATTTCTCAAACACTCACTGATCCTCTGCTGTCCACTAGACACAATGGGGAATGCAGGGAGAGGCAACACTGAGATTTTCCAGGGCCGCAGTATCCCCAGAAGGTTTGTAAGATGATTCTCCAGAGCAAGGAGAAAATACTAGAATTTTTATCTATTTGTATCTACAAAATTAAGTTTCACTAAGCAGTTACAACAAGGAGGACTGAGGGTGTGGCTCAGTGGTAGACCATGCATAAGACCCTGGGTTCAATCCCCTGCACCACCAAAAAAACTGGTGCCTTCCCTGGGCTGTACATCCAGGAATCAAGAAGGAAGGGTGACAGTGGCACTCTTCTTCTGCCTTTGCTTTTAGCATATTGTGAATACTGCTTTTTCTCTGCTATAGTATGTCAGTCATGAATCTGATCTGATAAAAAGAGCCTTAAATAGCAGGATCTTTGCAATTTTTTAGAATGGGACAGAGCACCACAGAGGTGGTTCACCTACAACAAAGTACCTGAAGCTTGTGCTCTGTAGCAAACTTAGCATTTGTCAAAGTTTTCATTTCTTAATAATTTTTGTGACTTAAAAAGCAATTATGTAAAAATGACTATTTAAACAAAAGGAGCATCAAAAACAATTTTATAATTGTTGACTTTTTTTTATAATTATATATACAAATTCATTCAGTTTTTCTTTTATGTTTATGAAACTTACTAAACGGCCTGGGGCTGTGGCTCAGTGGCAGAGCACTTGCCTTGCACATGTGAGGCACTGGGTTGGATCCTCACCACCACATAAAAATATATCGAATATATCATGTCCATTTATAACTAAAAAATCAAAAATTTAAAAAAAAACTTAAAAACTTACTAATTACCTGGAAGAGTTACTCAATCTCTCTCAGTACATATCACATAGTAATTTACATATGGAATTGATAGGTAGGTTTGTGTGTATTAGAGTATGTACTCAAGCCTTTTACTGATAGGCTGCTGCCCTGGGGATCCAGTTGGCTTCAGGGCACAGCCTGGAAGTGACTTTCTCTGGCCTGACACAGATTAGAATTCCTAGAGAGAAAGAAGGGGTGAGGGGAGGGTGCACGGCAGAAGAAAAAGGCCGGCCAGGCCCAGAGGCGCCTCCCAGGCAGGGGCACTACARTTCCTCCAGGCCTGTTCTATGAGAGCTTACTGGCAGGGGCCCACACTCTGCCAAGGGTGCTGAACCTAGTCGTAGCTGTTGTGGCAGCAAGACCTCCTCAAGTACCCACCAAGAGGCAGTGTTCACAAGCCTCTTTTCCTGAGCCTGGCACTCAGAACCAGCTGCGCTTTCTGAGGCAGACTCTGGAAGCTCCTCCACCAAGGCTTCCACCCTGGGGCCCCTGCCAAGTCGACATTTATGATGGGAAAAACAGCCACTGAGAACAACAGGCATCTTGCAAACAGACACAGACAACAGTCCCTGCGGGGCCACTGTATCCTGTGGGGCCCAGCCCAGGCTGGCGCAACCTGGCACAGGCTGGTGCTCCCTTGAGTGAGGGTGGTACTGAAGGTGGGAAGACTGAAAGGAAGTTAAGGAAGCAATTAGAATGAAGCAAACAGAATTTCAGACCGGGAGATGCCAAACAGACTGTCAGACACGTTTGTTTGCTGTTATTACTGCCAGGCAACAAGGCGGTTCTTTCCCATGTTGTGTATCAACTGAGGCTGGTGTGCAGGCCTCCAGGAAAGGCTTTCTGCTTTGTTTTTTAAAACCACACAAAACTTTTCTTCTATCCTTTAAAGTAGTGGTTCCAGGCCCAGCCCTTCCAGCCAGCTCAAAGGAASGGAAAGGGCTTAGAGTTTCCTGTTTAGTAGCCAAAACCACCAATTTCTGGACCCTTTGAATGTCTGGAAGGCAGCAGCTCCCTTTCAAAGCAGGAGAACCATTGAAAAGTGAATACTTTTGGTGGGAGGCAGTGACCGAGAAGCCTGTAGGTTCCTGCCCCTTTGTGATAGGTGCAGGTCCTCACCTTGCTGTCCTGCTCACTTGGTCAGACTCCTCACAGCACAGAGGTTCCAGGACAAGAACACAGCCCCTCCGCTCATGAGGAAAAGCCAACCATACTCAGCTTATCATGCACTCAGGAGGTGCACAGGGAGATGRGGGAAGCAGAGGTCCACCTGCCTCACCTGCTGTGATATCTGGAGGCTAGATGACCCCTTGCGTCTTTGTACAGGGTATAAGGATCTTGTCTTGGCATCARAAAAGTCAGGTTCAAATCCTGGCTTACTAGCTACTGAACTTTGGAAGAGTTATTTAATCTTTCTCAGCTTCCGCATGTTTTGCATCTATAAATGGAAACCATGCCTTTTTCATAGGGTTGTAAAGCACAATAAGTAAAACAAGGTGCAG